TTTTTTTTTTTTTTTTTTTTATTAATCTGTTTTTCTTTTTCTAATGAAAAAATAGAGAAATTAATGTTTTTAGTCCGTATATGGCATCAGTTCTGGGAACTTCTTTTATCTCAATCTTGTACTTGCCTGACCATAAACATTTGATTTGAAAAGCGCCTTTCCTTTTTGAAGAGTAACTAATGTTCTTTTTTTCCCCTTTTCAAAACCATAGTTTCTAATGGTACTATCTGTAGTTGAACAATCAACTAAGATTTGTCCCCTAGTTTTCCTTGAACCCTGTATTTCTTTTTTAAATCCCCCTTGCACTTTATTATTTTTCTAATTAATGCTTCTTTGAAAATAAGCATGCTATAAAATTTTATATCTTCTGCTGCTTGAGTTATATATTGTAAAATAAGCCGTACATTGTCTAGAACATGAATCAGTCGTGTCTAGTTTATTCAAGTTGTTGAACTTGAAAGATCCATACCTTTCTAGTGGCAGACCGGTTGTAGGCTTATTTGAGTTCAGGTTGTTCTGCACTTTTATGTGATGCAGTAAAAGTGGATCACTGTTTTAAGTTTTGACTGACTAATTTCATTTAATCTTCAGGTCGAGCTTGGTATTGCAGTCCAGAAAGCCTGTGAGAATGTTACACAGCCATTGAAGTTTTTATATCCTTTGGATATTAGTATTAAGGAGAAAATAGAGGCAATAGCAAGGTCATATGGTGCCAGTGGCGTTGAATATTCTGAGCAGGTAGACATGCCATACATCTTTCACCAATATGCTCTATACCGTATTTAGATAATCATTGCCAGTATTGGGTCATGTGGTGACGGGTTTTTGTTTTTGTTTTTGTTTTTGTTTTTGTTTCTCTTATATGTGTTTTTTTTCAACCAGGCTGAGAAACAGATTGAGATGTACAACAAGCAAGGCTTTTCTGGTCTACCAATCTGCATGGCAAAAACCCAGTATTCATTCTCAGACAATGCTTCAGCAAAGGGAGCACCTAGTGGATTTATCTTATCAATAAGGGATGTAAGAGCTAGCATTGGAGCTGGATTCATTTATCCTTTGGTTGGTACAATGAGCACAATGTCTGGGCTTCCAAAGGCCTTGCTTCTACGAGATTGATCTTGACACTGCCACAGGGAAGGTTATTGGTCTTTCTTGAAGTTTTGTAAACCTCTTCCAAGCATGTATGTTTCTCTATCTTGTTTATGCCTCCTTTAAGCTTCATGGAGCAGCAAGCGAGTGAGATAGTTTGTTCCTGCCCTTTGCTTCGCTCATCTGTTCCATGTCCTGTTCTAAGTCAAACGTGTATGAAGAAAAATAAATCTTGTTTTTCAATCTTGGGTGAACATTTTTCATCATGGTGGATTCCAATAAAATAATAATGCAATAGTTTTTTCTCACTGCTCTAGGGCTCTATGCTGAGAATATACTCTCTCCAGGGAACTGCATATCTGCTTTCACCTTAATGCATATCTTCTTTTTTTGTATCAATGATTTATTTGTTCTTTCTTCCTCCTTTTTTTATTTTTATTATTTTTTTTTTATTTTTTGGTATTCGATAATTGGAAATGGAGGGATGAATCTAGGAAAAAAGGTCCTTTTAGTCTGACTGACCTACAGATAAAATTTAATTCTCTGTTGATTGATAGATTAACACTACATGCATTACACATGTTATGAAACTTCTGGCTATTTGTTGTCTTAGGAGACTGACTGCTAGTTTCAAAGTTGTTGATTATCGAGTATTAACCAACGTTTAGAGGATTTATATAGCCAAAGTCAGTGAAACTGTTTTTGTAGATTTTTTGAAATCCTATGATCAAAGAAAACAAAGTGGCAAAAATAAGGAAATAGGAGCGAGGATTATAAGTTATTAAGAAGATCTTTCTATTTGTGTTTTCATGACAATTAGAAAAAAAAAATTTGGAACTTAATTGGAAGGAAAACGTTTTTAAAGGTTCTTAAGTCTCCAATGCAGACAAAGAAGTTTTAAAAGAACTAAAAATGATGATATATATGAAAAAGATTATTTGAGGATAAAACGAAACTTGAAGAATACTAAACTAATTTTTTCACAAAAGGCAATGGTCCCCTTGCCATAACGTGGCTCTCTGCAAAATCAAAGGGTGAGTAGGAAAGATTCATGCATGAGAAAAATAGAAAAGGAGGGTGAATAGAAAGCAGTCCACGGATGAGCAAAATAGAAGAATAGAAAAGCAGGTTGGCGAATAGAAAATATTCACGCATGAGCAAGATAGAATTTTATCATAAAAGGAGCCAATGTTAATGTTTACTTTAGCATGAAAATGTTGATTATGATGAAACTTTGACTAACCTTTTTTAGCGATGATAGAAATTTACAAAAAAAAAAACTTTATTTTTAATATTAGTATTATGTAAAACAATTTAATTGAACATTGGATGAAATTTAAGTAAGTCTTTTTAAAAAAAATAAATTAATGATAAAAATATATAATAATTACACTTTTAACTTGTATACTAAAAACATAAATTAAAATTTTTTATTAATTGATAATAAAAAATGTAATAAACATATTCTTAATATAGATTCTAAGGTTGAAGATTTCCTTCTTTAATTAATCTTTATTTTAGTAACAAAAGTGCAGTTAACTTATTGGTCTTTATCTTGCTTACACCTCCTTTAAGCTTCATAGAGCAGCTTGCGAGTGAGATAGTTTATTCCTGTTCTTTGCTTTGGTCATCTGATCCATGTCCTATTCTCTTACGCCTCCTTTAAGCTTCATGGAGCGGCATGCGAGTGCGATGGTTTATTCCTGCTCTTTGCTTTGGTCATCTGATCCATGTCCTATTCTAAGTCAAACATGTTTGAAGAAAAATAAATCTTGTTTTTCCATCTTGGGTGAACATTCTTCGTCGTTGTGGATTCTAATAAGATGATAATTCAATAAATAGTTTTTTTTCTCTATGCTTTAGGGCTCTATGCTGAGAATATAATCTTTTCAGGGAACTGCATATATGCTGTTGCACTTGTATAAAAAATTAAATTATTATGATATATCTTCTCAAAATTTAAAAAATCAATGAAGAAAATTCATTTTATAAATACTCAATGGCGTTCTCAAAAGCCCAAATGCTTTTTAATGTGAAGCCTAATAAAAAACTCAACCAAATGAACATCATCGTCGGGCCCTATTACCTAAATCTCTAATTTTTTAACTTTCTTCCACAACTTGCTGTAAGCTCCCTCATGTCCCCACCAGTTGACAGCACTAAAATTCTTCACATCACAACTCACCTCCAATCCTCCTCTCTTTTTGGCCGTTCCCGTGGAGTTGGTTGCAGT